TATTAAACTCTAATTGATTTTTGACAAATACCTTCCATGCATCCCATTTACTTACACAAATACAGGTTTCTACTGGTTTCTTTTAAATAGCTGTTTTCACCTAGAATCTATCACTCAAATTATTTAGTTGATCTAAAAATATCCTGGTATAATATTTCCCTAGCAAAACACACATTCTTCAGTAAAAAGAAAAACAGTATCAATTTTTAATTGACATAATACTGAAGCTTTCAAAAATATAGAATTACGATGCATATTTTAAGGAAATAGATTTCTCTAGGGAATTTTCCTCATCACCTCTCAGCAAAATCCCTCTTGGGCTTAAGCCCTATATTCCTGATTATTGGCCCCAGCATATTTTATCAGAATATTACAAATATCCAAGGCACTGGAACCTGAAGAGAGACCTTTAAATAAAGTAATAAAGACAGTGATGACATAATGAAGGCTCCACGTATGCACAGGAGAGAGGCAGCATCACCATAACGTGCAGTCCTCATCATGCCCTACCCATGACCTCCACGCTGACCTGCAGAGACCACTGTCTCAAGGGGTGAGAGATAATTTAGTCCTTTATCCTTCTGTCATTGAAAACCACTCTACTGCCATAAATTCTAATCAAGTCAAACTGGAAGGCAATTTAAAAAATAATCTTAGGATGCATGTTTCGATGAGGAAGAAAACAGAGAGGAAAGTAACGGAACAGCCCAGGACATTTTTTAGCAAGCAGGAATCACTGATTCAACTTTCACCCCTTTCCCAATAGCTCACAGATAAATGACATTGACAATACCCACTCGTACAAGCACCATTGCATGCAGTTTCTAATAACCTAGGAAAACATAGTATCATAAGAGAAAAGCAACCACCAATTTTTATTCCAGGGATGATGTTTATATGCGGCTTTTTGTTTACATCTCAGCTGGAGGTTTGAGAGTTGAGTGCCACAATTCACAAGTGCAGTGTGTGATATACAACTGAGAGGGAAGACGCAGAGACAACTAGCCCAGCCACCCAAGGCTAGCAATCATGAGGTTTAACTTGAAACAATAAAAATATTCCTAGGAGGAGAACTGTTAACAAATCATCATTCAAATTTCAATCATATACAGGAGAAAATATCTGGGGCATGTTTTATGTGGTCTCCCTTCTTCGCTGGCACTGCACGGGCACATTTTAGCACAGATATTTTTCTAGGGATATATATGACTTTCATCCTGTCTGTGGCCATTTTCCTGGCCAAGTGGTTGATGCTGCCATTTGAGTTTTAGCATCCAACTTGACTGAATGTGGAACACTGAATTCTTGATGGGCATAACTAAAAATGAAGCACCACATTGACACGGGAGCTATAAATGTCACTAGAGAAACACAGCAACCTCTTCCTTTGAGATTGTTTCCCAAAGTTCCATGTTGAGAATGGGTTTGAATATGTCATCACATATTAAATGACTGGCCCTGTGTGGCATCACTCATTTGATCATGCAGCTGAAACACAGTGAGACATGGAACCAGAATCTCTGGTCATGCTGTTCCCCTTCCCCCCTCCACCCCCCCAACATACATCTGTTCTTCTACAGATGGTTTCCTACGGCTCGGAGCTTAGCATAATAGTCAGGAACAGAAAAAGGAGGTAGTTCTACAGGCTCTACCAGCATAAACAATGCACCACTTAATGATATCACAGAGAACGAGCTAACCACATGTTTCTCAATGAAATGTGGATTCATCTCTCTTAAGTGTACTTTAGTTTCCATGGCTGCTCAAGTTAAGCAAAACGCTGCCTCTGATGTAATTACTCTACAAAACACAAGGGCGCTTTTCTGAACTTTCTACTTAGGCTGGCATATGGCTTCCGGTCTCTCCTTCTGGTATTCTGAGCGGCTCAGAGCACTGAAATATTCTGCACAGTATGTTTCTCTTTGGATGCTGTTAAGTGCAGAGGTGCAATTTAAGGGGAGGCATAAAAGGCCCAGTGGCTCCTGGAATTTCCTTTGTTTATCCATAGAGGGCATCAGCATTAGCCTTTCCCCTGCAGTTCTGTGCTGAAGGTGCCACACTGTGAGAGAAACAGACTTGTCCTCCGGACTGCTAATGTGAACAAGACACAGAGGGAGGAGTGACTGCCAGAGGAATCTATTCATACTGAAACTTCTCCTGGTGCCACTTAATGTCTCTCCACAAGAGTAAATAGATCAAAAGGTACACGATTTGTCATCATCAGCTTCTCCCATTAGAGGAGCACAGCTTTCAGTAATACAGTGCATATAATATAGGAATGATGCTTTAAGAGAGTATATGAGAAAATCATTGTTTAGAAACAAACTTGGATAGTCTCCCATACGCAGGAAATAATGTAATTCTTCATGATCGAGTAAACATTTAATCAGCACTACATAGAAAAGCACAAAAAGTTGAACATAGATATGGCAAATAAAATAGGGGTCTATTAAATGATCACCCGTTGAATGTTGCCAAAGTTGCTAAAAATTCTGGGAGAGAAAGTTTTAGTCAGTTCCATAAGCTAGGATTCCTAAGCTAAGGTCCCAGTGATACGAAAACGTGAGAGCATAACAGACACCAGAGCTCAGAAATCTTAGACAACATGCGATGCTTTCCTTCCAATGTGCATTCTATTTTCTCTCACACTGTCTCCAGGTTCTTTTTTTTCAAGTTTTCAAAACTGTTCGTCTACCTAATTGGAAACTGGAAAATATTCATTCTAGAGGTCAAACACAATTAGATGATATATAAAGAATATGAAATAAAATATATATTGTTCTGGGTTCTCTCTTACAAATTCAGAAGTAGAGAAACCCAAAGTGGAGATGAGTATCTATTATGATTACTAAACTAAACTATGATTCCTAGTTTAACCATAAAGGTTCCACTAATGATATATCTTTAATGAAGTTTTAATTCAAATTTATTTGACCCTCTTGGATTTTTAAAAGCGATTTCACTACACATGCAAACCAGTAAGGAGTGACATAAATCTATAACAATTTTCAATGGTGGAAATTTTAAATAAATGTTGAGAAGCCAAATTAATTACCCCTCCATCAAACCAATGGGGGGGGGGGGGGAATGAGAAGAAGAAAAAACCACGTTGGGCTTATAAGCCAAAGTCTACAACATGCATTTACTTTTTAATAATGCATGGACAGTTTAGGGACAAATAATCCTTTATCTGCAGTTAAATTACATATACAGTCAATTACTTTTGAAAAGTCAAAGTATTAGTTACTCAACATTAGAGAAGCTGGGCATGGCTTTTGCTTTCCTGTAATTTATAATTTTATCTGATTTCTTTCACTAACTCCCTGAAATGAAATGAGTGTTTTAGGACACAACTCTTCCTACACAGATAAAAAGAGACTACAACAAAATATCTCTTTAGAGTGAAAATGCTGACACCTTAATGCCTAGGTATGGAAAATTTATGTCAGAGGTAGAGAGGCTGCTTTTTGAAGAATTGGTGATATGCTAGAATCCCTTGAAGCTGGAATCTACTATCCGACGGTATTTTTCCAGTAGAAAAAATTAGCGAAGTTTCTCTGCAACAACCCCCTGATGTTTGATTAAGTGAGCATTTGAAATCAGAGAAACACTCCTCAGGTGAAGCTGGCCTAGAATTGCCAAATTATCAAAGCTTTTTTCTTTCTACAGGTTAAACAAAAATAAAGCTCCTATTTTAAACTGAATTAGTGACTTTCTTAACAAAGCAGTCTATGCACTGATTGTTTTTTTTTAAGTTCAGGTACACAATTGTTTATAACCTGAGACCAAGCAGTTCTCTGCCTGATTATGTACATAAATAGGTATCAGGTTTATATGTCAGGTTAATATAAATACACACACATATATAGGTAAGTATGTATTATAGAGATATAGATAGATATAGATAGATATAGATATAGATATAGATATAGATATAGATATAGATATAGATATAGATATAGATATAGATATTTAGTGCTATACACACTGGAAAATAATTAAAGCAAGTGTTCCAGGAGCCACTGTTCTGAAAGCCACATGTCACTCTGTCCCATAAAGCGCTTCTCCAGTAAAGACAAGCATCACCATCCATCACTCAGTCACTGGCCCCAACAACCGCTCCCCCTTCTGATTAGAGATCACAGTTCCTTGAGTTGGCTTGCAGAGTGTCATCTGTTTGAAGAACAGATGTCTTTGCTGGAGTGGCACTCTGCTTGTTTTTGTTTTGTTTTGTTTATGAAACAAAGATTCCTAAAAGGTCCTGAGCTGCCTCCACACTTAGGAAGAGGCGAGCAACATGCTAAAGGGGGGAAGGTCAGGAAAGGGACTCAAATAACCTATTTTCTTACCTCAGAGAGAGAGAGAGAGAGAGAGAGAGAGAGAGAGAGAGAGAGAGAGAGAGAGAGACACTAATTGAGATTATAAAATGTTATTTACTTGATCCCCGGAGTCACCTTTGTTTACCTGCCACGGAATGACTTGTATTGATATTTCTCAGCTCCCCTCTGTGGTCTTTTGACTACAGATAATCACACTTGACTCTCCTTCCCCTTAACAAAAGGCTGCAGAGCCAGCTGAAACCGAGTCAATGTTTACCCAATAACTGTTAACCAAGTCTCACAATGGCAAATGATTTCCTGATTATGATTACCATCTTCTCTTCCCCCCCCCCCCGCCCCCACATCCTGTCTAGCTGCGGGGGAGGGGGGGACACTCGAGCAATCTGTGACAAGTCACCCATGGGCAGCGAAGAAGTTCCTTGTTGGGAAAAGTTTGGAGGGCATCCTCCTCCCGTCCCACTGGACCCAGCTGCCCAGGCTCTGCCCCTGCAAGACCCGAGCCTCCTCTTTCTAGGACTTAGGAGAGCCCTGCAGGAACCACAGGGAGAAGAAGAAAAAGAAGAAGAAGAAGAAGAAGAAGAAGAAGAAGGGGTGGGTGTGGGGATGGCTCTCCCCGGACAGCAGGCTAGGACTTGCGATGAAACACCTAGACAGACTCACCGAAGAGCTTGCTGGGAGTGTCCTCGCTGTCATTTGACTCCGCGGGCGCCGGCAGAGGCTCACTCAGCTCGCTGTCTGGAGTCGCAGCCTGGTCCTCACCTCCCAGCTCCGCATTCATCTCACTCCGCGCTGACAGCGAGGGCTTCCCGGCTGGTCCAGCAGCTATCATTGGATCCTGGGATGGGGGGGAAAGAGAGAGTGCCGGGGAGGAGGGGGGAAAAAGTGGCAGCTTCAGTGTGTGCGTGTCCTCTCTTCCCTCTCCCTCTCCCACCGCACGCACACGCTCCCTCTCTCCTCTCCCTCTTATCTCCCGCTGCTCCCGCTGTTATTGCTGGCTGCAGTCAAGTGAAGAGCTATTACAGAGCCGAGGACTTCTCCATTACTCCCCACCCTGGGAAAGCTCCAGGAGCATGGGAGAGACTCGGGAGGCTTCGGAGGGGGGACCCCCAAAAAAGGAAAAAGAAGAGAAAAAAAACTTCTTTGAAAGCACCCTAACCAACGCGGCTTATTTAATTGTGGGGTGTGCTTTTGTGGGGACTTTTTTTTTTTTTTTTTTTTTTTTTTTTTTGCACCTTGTTCTGTCTTTAATGCAGCGAGAAGAAAAGCAAGTGCTGGGTTTGTACTCCAGCCGCAGGCTGAAAAGGAAGGTGCACCCCAGGGAGGGACCGCTGGCTATTTTAAGAAGCCCTCTCTCTCCCTGGGGGACGAGCCATTAAAACCCTATCCCCGGAGCAGAGAAAAAGGGACCAGGAGAAAGGAGCCCGCCAAACTCGGTCCCTGGAATAAAAGCGATTTCTTATGTAAATTCCACGCGCGCCCTTAGAAGTTGGCTCCACCACCCCCGGCCCCAGATGTGGGACGGACGCTCACCCCAGATCCAATGCACATTGCAAAGCAGACAATGTACAGCAACATAGAGAGGAAAATTGGCTTAAACATTGGTTAAAGGAATTGGGAAATACTTACAAACTGTGTTCAATAATTTCTGAAACCTAGAGCATCCTCCACCCCGAGCATGAAAGAAAATGCAAGAGGGGGAAAAATCACCTTCCAAAAAAGGCCAACTTTCTGCCCCAGTAGTTTAAATCTGCTTTCTCTTCAGCTCATGAGAAGGGCAATTTAGGATCAGAGAAACACTGCCCAAGTGTAGCCTTTTTATTCCCTCTGCAAACCAAGGTGCATAGTATGATTTTAGCAAAAAGGATCTGATGCAGGAGGCAAAGAAAAGCAAGAAGTGCCCTCCTGGCATTATCTGGGAGCTATTTATTGCCAAGTTCATGCCTAACTGGTTCCTGGGCAGGAAACAGGTGACCAGGGCAGGAGCAGGTGGGGCTGCATGCTCCCTGGTCCCATCATGACATTGGCTGTGGTTCGCCTGTGGTTTTTTTTTAAACGTATTCATGCCTGAAAAGTGAATTTGATATGACACATGATAATCTATGAAAATGTTAATCAATACAAATAGTTTAAGCTGTCATCAAATGCACTTCTGTAGTCAATACTCATACCACTGAAAACAATGTCACTGTCACCAGGGCTTAATTTGCACAGCACTTAAATATTGGACTCTGTGCATCAATGCACTTCTTCTTCAAATACTGTAGGTAAACACATTTTCTCCCTATTTAAGGCTGAAGCACTCAGCACGCATTTAGCTGAGCCGAATCCTCCCTTTTGAATACCTTGATAGGTCCACTGGAGGGCAAAATTAATACTTAATTGAATCTCGCAGTCATCAAAATAATCAATACTTTTTTATTATTTATTCTTTACAGTCTGTTGACTGTTTCAAACCTCTGAGGGAATGGTGGAAAGGATTCATGGCTTTGAAACACTGTCATTTAACAAGGTAATTTTCAGCGGGGCATTAGGGGTTGTGAAACATATAATAAAACAAAAATGGTGGCTTATAATAGGAAGAAAGAAAAGAATTATATTTCTGCCATCTAACAAAACAGGATAAACAAAAAGCAAGTGCAGAGAGAGAGAGAGAGAGAGCGAGAAAGGAGGGGGACGGGGGTTGCGAGAAAGACTGGCTTTTGAAGGGTTTTATCATATCAAGAGCAGAGCCGAGCTTTCATAATGCTGACATTTCTCATCCTGACAATCCTAAACAAGTGGAAAGGATGAGACCACAGATATCATCTTTCATCACATTCCCCAGCTTAAGAACCAACATGACAGCTCCTCTCCCCTTTACACTGTTAATTACTAAATAAAATACCACTCTCTGTCAGCATCAGATGATTGCAGATAGCAACCACAAACATCTCTCCATTGTCCTCCTCCTCCTACCCCCTCCCCCCGCCCCCAACCCTGAAACAGTGATACCTACCTTGAACTCTTTAGAAAATAAATTAGGCTTGTCTGCCTATATTGTAAATATCTGAAATATAATCAATGCAATCAATAGGGTCCATGCGTAGTATTGGCAGCCTAAATTTGCTGGTGATAGATTAGCATTTCATCTACTGTGTCTGGCTGCTGAGATTTGCAGAGCTTGAAATTCAGGAGGGGAAGCAGGCAGAGGGGAAGACACAAAATTCTCAGATTCTCTCCCCCCTCTCCCAAATTTCTTTCCTCTGTACCTAAGAAAGAATGTGTGTTTGGATTCGTCGGATTCAGTTACTGGAGCTGAGTGGGTTGAGCAAAGAGCGCTTGCTGCTTTATCTCATGGCTTTGATATGTATACTTATCACATGAAGTAAAGAGCCCTGGTTTGCATTCTAATACCTTCTTTTTTCTTTTATGAAATGCTCCATACTCAACATCTGTAATCTAAAGGAAGGGGTATGGCTTGTGCCTTCAAGACACCTGGTCCTTGAGGCCACCCTGCTCATTGGAGCATTTTCTAAGGTAGCGTTCATGGTAAACTGTGTTTAGAACGGCATGCACTACCTCAGGATAAGCCAAACATGGCTATTAGCGTATCAGTGACTATCTTGGGTAATCTTAAAATGAGAATATTCTCTCCTTGCTTTATTTGTAAATGGTTTAACTGAAGCTTGAATCACACAGAAGAGCTAAAATGCAGCTGCTAAGTTCAAGTGCACTTAAATCTCTAAGACATTCAGTCTGGTTGATGTGTGCAAAGCATGTACTGGCAGATGGTATATATACTCACTGACCATGAGCTCTCCTTTTTAAAATTACTTTTATGCGCCTCATACATGGCTAGGTCCCCAGCTAGTATCTTTCAGTGACTTGAGCTTGAAAATTTCAGGAGCTTGTTATTCAAGTATTCATTTGATTTTTTCATCTTGCAACACACTTTACATTTGCCATCATGCAGCTGCAGCCCACATATATATATGTGCCTGACATGGTTAAACAGGAAACCCCCAGTGAGGCAGAAAGCAGACAGCTTTTAATCACAGCTGCAGCCACTGGGGGGTCCATTTGAAAATGTGTCACAAGCAGTAACCACTGAGTACAGTCGTCTATGTGATGGGGGAGTGCCTCTTTCAAGCAGTACAGGGCCTGGAAGTCATTCTCTCCCTGCCAAAAGCGACGGCAGTCTGTAAAACCCCTTCCTGCCAGAGTGAAGAGATGGTTCTCCAATGTGCACCTGCACGGGGGCTTGCAGGGATGTAAAAAGAGCTTGCAAGTTCCACATGTACAAGGATGCCTGCAGCAGCAAACGGGAACAGAAACAGCCAGTGCCAGCAAAAAAAAATCAAGCTGGTGAAGACTTCTTACTTGAAAATCTGAAACTCACATTCCAGTTGAAAGCTGGGACTTCCCTGCAATTTGTTTCTCAGCCCTGATAGAAAAAAGTGACTGGTCCAATATGAACAATGGTGAAATGGGCAAGAATGGGACATGGTATGTGCCAATACAGGACATATGCAAGGTTCACCGGAGACCCAAGAGCCAGACGGTAAGAAAAGCAGCGTGAGAGGAAGTTTCTATCGGCAAAATCTCAATAAAAATTTCGCTATGCCCGATAGTGAAAGGACTGCAATCAACATCAGAGCTGCACAGAAACTGTTTAAATTTCCTTCAGACATTGTTACAGAATGAAAATACGTTCCACGTAGCAAATGCTTTTACCAACTAGGCACCTCAAATATATTTAATGTCACCCAAACTGGGCCAGGTATTAGCCCCATTTTAGAGTTACAAGACTAAGGCTCAGAGAGGCTAAGTGACTTGACCCAAATCCACAGAGCTAATAAGTGGTGAAGCTGTATTGGAGCCCTAGCAGACTCATCTCCAAAGATGGACATCTTTCTATGCTGTACAGGGGGCACTGGGTGAAAACACCCATGGACTTAGGAACTCAAGGCGTTTTCTAGAACTTGAATTATGCACCATGAAGGGTCTTTAAACTCTGATGATGGATTCCCAGAGGATGCTCTGTTGGTACCTCTTCCCTTCAGACTCTAAGAACAAAGCACTTGTCTGTCCGACCCTGCCTGGGTGAAATCCACGGGGCGGTATGGTGTGGTAGAGAGCACAGCAGGCAGCATCAACTAGCCAGGCGTGCATTCAGGTTCACTCTGTATGTGAATTTAGCAAACCATTTAACCACTTTCACCGCTGGTTTTCTCATCTGGAAAATGAAAACATTGGAATAAAACAGCATTTTCCAAAGCCTGTATCAAAAGATATTCTATAATAAAAGAGTTTTGCTCCTGGCCGGTGTTCTTTCTCAGTGGTTGGGTGTTGACCCAGGAACCAAAAAGTTTGATTCCCAGTCAGGGCACATGCCCTGGTTGCAGGCTACATCCCTGGTGGAAGGGTGCAGGAGGCAGCTGATCAATGATGTTTCTCTCTTATTGATATTTCTATCTCTCTGTCCCTATCCTTTCCTCTCTCCCTCTAAAAAATCAATAAAAACATTTTTAAAAAAAGGAGTTTTGCAATTACACACACATAAAAATCACAGTAGAAAAGTCTTCCAGGAAAGAAACAAATTCAACTCTGCTTAACCTAACATTTCCCCAAATTATACAACTATGGAAGGCCTTTCCCCTATCATCTTTATTATATTACCTAATGGATCCAGTGCTTCTTGAAACTCATTTTAGAATGTGCACACTTAAATGATAGTGAATATAAATGAGCTCATGTAAGTCAGTGCTCTAACTTTTAATGATTCTGCCCTAATAAGCTAGAATGCTTCGCCAAGTTAAGTTCACTTCTGTCCAGTGCTTCTCATATTCTAATAATTTTTACCTCATTAACATTTCTTTCCATTTATTTATATATATAACTATTGCAAATTAGTACATAGTAACTACAGAACTATCATCATATATTAATTCATAATATTTTCATATAATTTTTAAATAAAGATGTCCCCGTGTATTTCTGTTG